GTCCGGTAGTGTTTTCTTTTTATTTTTTTTTTCCTTTTTACTAATCGGAATGATCCGAAATTTGTAGCATGTGTACATATTGGTGAGAAACACCTAATAAAAATATGAAAAAAATATTTTGTAAAATATTAATTGACCAAATACCTCTGTAAATTTACGCCTTTATATATATATTTTTCTTATGAAAATAAGTGGCCAAAATGCCCTAAAACAATTAGGGGCATTATGATAATTTTCTATCAAGGGAAAAAAAATTATCTTGTGCGCCCTTATTAGATGAATGCATACATCAAATTTCATAGTAAAATGATTTATAGAATAAAGATTAAAAAGAAAACATTATGGCTCATCGGATTAAGATCTAACCAGCTTGTGACATTGTAACTCAAGTAATCCCTGTCACTATTTAGATTTGATGCCTTAGAGCAGAGGTCACATATTCTTTATATGTGATTGGAGTCACATGTAAAGCTTTTCTTTATAAAATGTATCTAAGAGATAAATCAATAGTTTATTTATTTTTTTCAATCCAAAGTTCATAAGAATATATGCGATAGGGAGTTACAATAGTTAAAATGGACAGTACATTAATTTATTAAATAATTTATAATTAGGCACATTTTTTATTTTTTTGTTTGTTTCCGTTTTTTTTGACAAATATCTCTTAGTCCAACTTGTGCACTTTTTGTATCCATGAGGGCAAGGGCGGCCATGTCTTAGGGCTTGAAATGTACTGCTAATTGATAAGAGAGGTTGAGGATTTACTCACAAATATATGCTATGTTTGCCACATGAGATTTTGGTATTCAGTTAGGAGTTTTATTTTGTGGCACCGGGTCTGTTGGCCCAAATATAGCATATCTTTTTGGTTTTTAGAAATAAATAGAACTACAATAACATACAAATTGAGTTTTGAACTCAACTAAAAAATCAACAAACATATGACATGCAACTCTTTATTACTCTATAAAAAATAGTCACAAATAACTTGCGGTAAATTCCTTTAGGATTCTAAAAAAAATGCAAAAAGACATTAATTTTGTCATGTACAAAAGAATCAAGACCCAAAATTGATTGCAATTATTGTAAACTTCATCCAACCAACCCCAAGGTAATTTCCCACAAGCATATACTCATCAAAACGTAATATAAATCACTTCAACAAACTAAAAGTATGCCCTATAATTTACTCCTTGCTCATGTAACCTCTTCCAAACTACAGGTACTGTTTTGGATAATAAATATAAATAAAATCATGTAACAAACACACTACATTTATAGATAATGGTTAGTTCTATTGCATTTGTAGAGAAAAAACCATTGGGAGTGTGATTCTTAGGGAGTGCGATTCTCATGATTATATCATAGGAGATGAAAGAGATATTTGCTGCAAAGTAAGAGTTAGTAAATAGTCTAGAGAGAGAAAGTGTTGTGAAAAGCAATACAGTGCTAAAATCTTATCATGTGACATTGGAAGATTCTCATAGATAGGAGAGGCACGTCCATGTACCCAGCTCATAAAGAAGCTTAAGAGAGAGAGAGAGATTTTTAGAGAGAAGAGAAGGAGCTTGTGTGATGTGCCTAAATGTCCCCAAAACCCTTTCTTATCTATAACCACTTAAAGGAAATTGATCAAGACACTTGTAGAGAGAGAAAAGCCAGGTGTTACCTTTCAATGACCACTTGTCCCTATCTTCACATTACTCTTTTTTTTTCCTTCTGTATTCATTTATTCCTTTTTAAAACACCTTTTAAGTGAGGTGGAAAAGGATAATAAATAAATTAAAAATTGGGCCTTTATTTTTACAAATATTTTTAAAACACATTTTCTTTAACATCTCCCCTGCTTGTTTCCAAATATTTGTAAAACCCTCATACAAGACCTTTAATAGCTATATACAAGTTGATTGAGTTATACATCCTCAAGCAACAACTATATCCACCATATGATCCATCCACTTAATGGCATCAACCGCACATATTTCTATTCTCATTAGTTATCATGATGTGTTGCATGATTATCAACCATATCATTAACTTCACATAAATGCTTATAAATTCGTGGACTCTCTCTCTCTCTCT